ATTATTCCTCAAAAATACAACTTGCCTAATAATTCTGCACTCCCTGTACACTTCCGGATAAGTGGAAGAAAATGGATGGGTTAAAACACTGAACCCACAACCTAATGATTAGTTTCATAGCATGCCTGTCAAGTAGCGTGCTTTCGTAATGGATTGTTTGCCATGGCCAAAGTCAAAGTCTAAAAAATTATATTTTATTTTATTTTAATTTAGTTGTTTAACTTTGACACAGGACAAGCTGGACACGTTGGAGGTCTCTAGATTGTCTGTTCCCCCAGACAACCTAGAGCTGGTGGCTAGGGATAGACAGGTCTGGGACTCTCTACTTAGGTTGCTCTCCCTGCAACCTAAGCACTTACACTTCCGGATAAGTGGAAGAAAATGGATGGGTTAAAATACTGAACCAACAACCTAATGATTAGTTTCATAGCATGCCTGTCAAGTAGCGTGCTTTCATAATGGATTGTTTGCCATGGCCAAAGTCAAAGTCTAAAAGTCTAAAAAATTATATTTTATTTTATTTTAATTTAGTTGTTTAACTTTGACACAGGACAAGCTGGACACGTTGGATATCTCTAGATTGTCTGTTCCCTACTGGTGGCTAGAGAGAGAGAGATCACTGAACTTAACCAAACACATCTGTGGATTAAGTTCAGTCATCAGTATCAATGTTTAACATAGTTCCACAGCCAAACAAAACAGGACCCTTTTTTAAACCTGCATGGAAAATCTGAAAAATCTTGCTGAACAGTGACACGTAGACTGGAAAACATGAAGGCTTCTTAAAATCACGGAAATATGAATGGAATAATAAAGCGTAAAATCCAACTAGAATCTCAATTTGAGATCTTTTTAATCTATAAACAGTGGTTGACATAGTAACAGTAATACATAATGTACTTTATGTTTATCATATTGTCTCTTAAAGTTACATAATTGTATTTGATTTCATTTGGAGGTGTGTGTGAAGTTCTATATCATTTCTTCCACATATGCTTCCAGCTGGCACAGTCTAAACCAATCTGTCTTTCTTGCTTTCTCTAGGTTTCAGGTTGAGAAACCCACAAATATAGGATGACGCGTCTTACATTTGGTGTTGTTTCATGTGCTTATGCTGGAAACACATTTGACATTGTTTCCACTCCTGTAATGCAGTGAAACAACTTAACAAGAAGCCAATCAGAGTGCTCTGCAATTGTTTCCTCCCACTCGATATGATTATATTTAGACAAATCATTTAATTAAGTTTGCATC